TCATACAGGGGGCCTGTTTTAATAGGCATTTTTCAATCAAGGATTAGAGAAACCGAAGTCATTTTTAGTTTAGTATCTTACCTTTTAGGATGTGCTGGCTAAACATAAAAGGGCTAAAAAGTAGAAGTATTTCCATGTGCTAACCTCCATTGTGACCTTCAGAATTTTTGACCCACATGGAACAAGAAAAGCAAGTGCTTTCATGATGCATGTGAGTTGAGTATTTGATTCTAACACTTCTGAACCTTTGTAGGACAAGGAAGGGCCTGATGTTCTCAGAGGGCAGGAGGCTGTGCATGTGCACATGGATGGTGTGAATATCCTCAGAGGGTGGAGGCTGTGCATGTGCACGTGCATGGTGTGAATATCCTCAGAGGGTAGAGGCTGTGCATGTGCACGTGCATGGTGTGAATATTATCAGAGGGTGGAGGCTGTGCATGTGCACATGCATGGTGTGAATATTCTCAGAGGGTGGAGGCTGTGCATGTGCATCTCCATTGTGTGAACATTCTCAGAGGGTAGAGGCTGTGCATGTGCACATGCATGGTGTGAATATTCTCAGAGGTTAGAGACTGTGCACATGCACATTCATGGTGTGAATATTCTCGGAGGGTGGAGGCTGTGCATGTGCATCTCCATGATGTGAATGTTCTCAGAGGGAGGAAACTGTGCACAAGCATGGTGTGAATGTTCTCAGAGGGTAGAGTTTGTGCATACCAACGTTGTGGACAGGAGGAAGTACAGAGAGTTAAACATGATGCTAAGCCACTCTGTCCCACAGGATCTGTTTCCCCCAGTCATGGGAAATGGAGAGTGGAGGTGAGAAGGATGGGAAGGAGGAAATTACAACAGATAGCAAAACTGAGTCTCCTGGCTCCACAGAGCCCCCTCATTTCTTCAAGGAGCAATCTGACAGCATACTTTGATTTGAAAACATTATACATCTCAATTGTAATTAAGAAATTCCGACTGGCGTGAATATGTAATATACACTCTGTTTTCGCACATGCCTTTTCTCCCGACAGGCTGGTGCCGACTTTAATTTGGAAGAAATCCATTTTCATACAAAGGTAACCAAGAGTGACAGGAAATAGGAAGCCTACATCATTTATCTTCTGTGAACTTGGAACAAAATCAGTTAATTGCTTTTCTGGGAAGCTATTTTGTAGAATCACGGCATTTCGTTTTTCTACTCACACTTGTGACATAAATGGTGATTTTTTTTTTTTTTTAGAAAATGTTGGTCATGAAAATGCTATGTTTAATCAATATATCTTAAACTATTTCAGTGCGGATTTTAACAAAGCAAATCTAATCAACCAAACAGTTACTCTAGCCTGGTAGATGAAGTATCAATCACAACTAAAGCTCCTAACATAGTCCATTGACTGACACTCAAATTTAGAGACCTCTTTCCAGGTCAACAAAGCTATGTGCAACAGGGTTGGCTTTGCCCCTTGGATTTTAAATACGTTCCTATGCCAGTCATCAGAGGTCTGTGCAGTAGCATATTCAAATCACTGCCATTGGTTAGTGGGTAATGAGCAGTGCGATGCACAGGCTTTGGAATACCTCTGCAGATACTGGAAGCTTCCAAAAAAGCTGACTGTAGTCTATGAGGACACCTTGGCAAGCAGGGGCCTGCATTAATATGCTTCCTTTCGATTCTTCAACCAGCAAGTAAAAATAGTATGCTTTTCCATGGCTCTGTCATGTATGAGCCTACCCCATACAGCCCAGAATATAAATAGGTACTAAATTCGGGTCTGATATAAAGTACTTTTCCAAATAAAAGGTTATTATTTTAATAACAACTTCACAGTACCCCATGCGTCATAGACTGGAAGATCTTAAAACTAGGCACACTTAAGTTTCAGTGTCCTCAACGCCCAGGAAGGGTCTTAGAGATGTATTTACATAGATGTATGATTTATAAAAGTTGTGAATTCCACAAAAACTGTATCTGCACCTCTATGTTAACAGTCCGCAAAGGCTCAACCTGCAATAATGGTGTGTGTGTGTGTGTGTGTGTGTGTGTGTGTGTGTAACAAAAATAACTCACTTCAATTGGAAAATATTTGCCATGGCCTGTCTTACGATGTTCTAGAATGCATGTTTCAGCCGTTTGTTAAGTCCCCTGTCTCTCACCTAACAACAGATACCTTTCCAAGTGGCACTCTAGGGGAGGCTCACTTAATGAGGGGGTGGCGTCAAGAAGAGGAGACTCAGCTCTAACAACAAAAATATGTTTTTCATTAAACCCCAAACTGAACCGGGATAAACCAGCCGAGAGGCAGGTGTATTGGTTAAGGAATCCTCTTGAGGCCTTTAACTTCCACATCAAACTGCAATAGATTTTTCTACACTAATTACCCATTATTGGAGAGTAAAGAATTATAACAAATAACCTTCAGTGGCGGCAGACAGAATGAAGCCATTGTTAAGGAAAGAGCACAGACTTGATGGAATATAAAAACAGGCAAAAGAGATTCCAAGTTTCTCCATTTTTAGACAAATAACAATATTGTTCCACTACAAGGATGGTGATGATGAGAGAATGTTCTTGGGACTAGAAGATCAATTTTAAAATTAGTTGGAACTGTGAAATACATTGCAAATTAAAAGGCTAAGTACTAGAGATGGATTTATTCAACTCATAAAGATAAATATCCTTAAAGCAGAGATCACATTGTAGATTTCTATTATCTCAAGTCACATTGCACCGAGGCATCAACGTGACTCTCTTAGGAGGAAGGTACTTACACAATGCCTAACATATATTTGCATGCATCTTGTATGCATGTGAGTACACACGTGTACGCACACACGTGAGTACACACGTGTACACACACTCACACATGTGAGTACACACACACACACTTCCAGTTATCTCCTTATCAATGCATGTCTGGCCTCTTTGACACTCTCAGGACAGAATGTGGGGAGGCAACAGGCTGTCTGTTCTCAATGCTGTGTATTGGAGCAATGAAAAAATTTCTATGTATCACTCTGATTTCTCACATTAGGCCTCCTTCTCTCAGGTATGACCTTGTAATTACAAAACTCGTGTACAATACATCGTTGTCCCCAATCTTGGATGCTCAGAGGGCATCATGATGATGTTCAGAGTACTGATAACTCACCAAATGCCTTCTTAATACCATGCAGGTGTCTGCACAAGGCTACATTGGGTTACCCAGAACTAACGACCTCAGTGAGTTCTAAATGAGTAAACAGGTACCTAAGAAACTAAAGATGATGCAGTAGGAAAACTTAATTTCAAAAAGGAGTCAGCTAAAAGGAAAGCTGTAGATGGAACCCTAGTGGCTTACGTTGGTCACCACTGTTCAAGGATGAGCTAAAACTTTCTTTGCCAACAAAGATCATTGGATGACAAGGGCAAAACCAAAGAACCAGAGGAATTCAGTTCATTATGGTGGTATCCATGTGTTTCCTACCAACAAAGGCCTAGGGAACAAGTGTAGTTATTTTAAAGTCTGATCCACGTCAGGCAGCCCAACTACCTGTAATTCCAGGTCCCAGGCATTCCACATCTCTGATCTTCATGGGTACCTGCATTCACACGCATATACCCACACAGAGATACACACACACATAATTTAAAAAAAAAACTAAAAGTAATTTTTTTTAGACGCCTGGAGGAATTACATCTTGCTTTCATTGTTTCTAATGAATCCTGCTCCCTAATTGCTAGAATCCATCATAAACGTGCAATCCAAAGAAGCTACTGGTGCCCGTCACCACACATCCTAATTAAAACCTTAGTGAACACCTCCTGGAGCACAAAAGACAGTCTCTCTCCGAGTGACAATCTCTGGGTAACAAGGTTATCTCCCAAGTGGCCCATGGGGAGTTCCAAGACGATGGCACAGAAACGCTATGCTCAGTCTTGTCAAAAACACAACAGGAAATGCCAAATCCTTTGTTTCTTTTGGTTACTAGACTGAATTAAGATGTAAAGAACACTCCGGTCACATCATTACTCCATCTTTAAAGAAGAACACGTCAAAGGGAAAAAGGACTTAGCAGTTCCTAAGGACACTGCTAAAGAAAGACGGCCTGGCCTCCCATGCTACATCACAGGGAGCGAACGGAAGCAAAGGCACGCAGTCGTAACTCCTCTTCGCGCGCTCTTGACAACTGTCATCAATCTGGAATACGGCATGACACGTGCTACTTTAAAAAGATTGCTTTCCATCCAGATTCACCGTTCAAGCAGCCAGCCACTGCCTTTCCCACCACCTGTCAAGAGACAGGCTTGTGCAGAATTCTCAGACTCAATGCATCGACTCCACACATTATGTAATGCAACGAACGAAGTAAAACTGTAAACCAGGAGAGTATGAACTGAAATACTTCATCCATCCGGAGAATATGCTCACAGAGCCGAATATTTTTATATCACAAGAAAAGTCCACGTAAGAATTCTGTTTAATTAATATGAGTGAATCTAAATCACAAGCCTTATAAAGTGAGTGGGACATCTACTATACTGGAATATCAACTAGATTCACTATTGACTTAATACCTTACAAATTCTTATGAGACTTCCTTTAAGAAGTTTATCATCAAACTTCTCAAAATTGATAAAAAATGTTAAGAGTTTCTGAACTATTTTACAGAAAAAAAAAACTTACCTCCTTGAAAGCTGAATTACAGTCTTTTGTTGTTGATATATATTGTTGTTATATATCTTAGTAAATCCCATCTCGTTCATGAAACTCTATGAACTCAACCAAAGGAGGCATTCCTTCCCTAAGTAATTCCTACCCATGCACAAACACATGCATACATATGTTCATATATTTTCAGTACTTGAGATAATCCTATCATGATGAATTTGAGAATTTTAACTTTAGTCTGAGGGCTACAAAGCTTATCACGTCATCGGGGAGGTAAGAGGGTGGAAACACGAAAACTGCATTTTCATGTCATGCTGCTAATTAGTTGCATGCAACTGACAATGGGAACAGACTCACCTCTCCTTGCTTGGGGATGCTGAACTTAGCAAGCTTGGCTTTGGCTCTGGCTGACTCGGGTTTGTTGCCTGGGACCCCTCTGTAGGATGTGCAGTGCACACCAGTTTCTGTGGATGACTTCAGCTTGGGAGACTCATCAGGAGCCTGGTCTTGGCCGTCCATGGGCCGCACATACGCTGTTGGTTTCTGCTGGACCAGGCTGGGTTTGGAAGCCAAGGATGGAGGAAAGTTCTGAACACAGTGTCCACTGCTGCTGTGCTTGGACGCCATGGCAGGGGTCCTCTCCTGGGTCTGAAGGCCCGCCTCCACATTGCATACTTGCTTGGCCCTTGTCTGCTGTCTGCTGACACCATCTCCAAGCAAGGTCCTGAGAGAGCCCTGTTGTGCTGAGTTGGAAGAAGAAGGCAGTGAGGGTGAGGATAAGGAACTCCATGCACAATGAACAGCTTCTCATTGTGGTTCTCTGATATCTGCGCAAAGCAACTGCCTTATGCCCCTCCTTACCTGCTCTCTGTTGGCCGTCAGACGATGAGTGCCCAGTCTTCTGCCAGCCCATGGTGCCCCTCTTACTCTGCTGCACAGAGACAGCTGCAGGTGTGGAAGACGCAGTGCTACAGACAGATGAGGGTTGGGGCTGGGCTCTCGACTCAGCTGCAAAATGTTCATCTACCTTGTTCACGGGAGTCTGAGGAACACCCGGCTTGGGGACGCCGACGAGATGGCTCTGGTTGGATCTGTCAGTTAAAAAGTCTTTCATTTCGTCATAATTTCCTAATGTATTCTGGATCCGGTTGGAGAGTTCATCCCCCTTGTTAGTCTGGAGAAATAAAAACAAATCCATGATACTATAGAGACAAGACATGGGTGCCAGTGGGGTCACATGCCCAAAACAGATACATTCAGAATGAGAGCTGAGGAATGAAACCAAAGTCTTTTTGGACTCTGAAGATAGATATAAGCCTCCACACTGCTCAAGAGCTGGAAACTTATAATAGATAGCCTCGGGCATATTGAAAAACAAGAAAGCTGTCCTTGGTATATCATGCCACAACCAAAATATATTTATTATTATTTATACATATGTATTTATTTGATATGTATGTAACATGGAAATTAGAAAATTTACCCTTATAACTTCACAAAATGGTCTATATTGTCTTCCTTGGATTAGATTATAGATGTTTTGCGGAAACACTAAAAGCTTTTTTGAAAACTTAGATTTGGCTCAGTATAGGTTTGCTTCCAAATTCTAAATAAGTAATTATTCTTGCCAGGAAACACAGTGTGTCAGGCTAGAAGAAGTTGGGTAAACTGAGAAGTAATATAAGATCAAATATGCAAAATTCTCCCACCCTAAACTGTCTGCATTACATGCATCCTGAAATGTCTGTGAACCTTGGAAGACGCTCCATTTCGGAAGAAAGGTGAACTCTTTGAGTACAGCAAGTGTGTCTCAGTAGATGGACTTCGGTTAAAATGAGAAGTGATTTTTACAACATCTTTTTAAAAAAATTATATAAAGTGTGTGTGTGTGTGTGTGTGTGTGTGTGTGTGTGTGTGTGTGCGCGCGCGCGAGTGAGGGGGGAAAAGAAGGAAGGAGGGAGGGAGAAGACAACTTGTAAGATTCAGTTTTCTCCTTTCTCCATTTGGGTCCTAGGGATCAAACTCAGGTCTTCAGGCTTGGTAGCTGCCACCTCCCCTCACTGTGCAGTCCTGAAAAACCCCAATTTCATCAGCCCTCACAGGTGCCTTCATCCTTGCATGAACCACAGATATCAACTATCTAACCTAAACCCTTTTAAATAGTTTTTAAGAGCTCAGGAAACATAACAGATGGCATTAATCTTAAAACCAAAGGGATGAAGTCTGAATTATTGATAAAAATCATAATAAGTGAGTCTTAGTGTCACACTTCACGGATGAAGTAAAGGAGCCCACAGAGCCTCGCAAGCTAAATATCATTATACAGGGGTGGGGGTACCACAGTGGCAGGGCTA